ATTCATCATTACATTCATCAACCATTTAAGATTATATATTACAAGCATCACTTGCTATTAAAACTAGAAGAAAACTGAAAAAAGAGGCTTTGGCTCAACGTAGGTATTTTGCAACTTTACGAAAATTTTGGTTTGATTTTTCTAAATGTTAATACCTTATAGATTGTAGTATATAATTCACGGGTTTAGGTGATTTGGGCTAATTTGATGTTTACTTGGCCCAATTTTTCCTTTTTAAGTTATAGAATGGGCAGGATTTTGTTAGGTTAATTTTGACACAATTTTTAATATAAATACGTGCGCATTTAGACGTTCAAGTGTGTATATGCTATTAATGAAATGAATTCACCCCATTATCATGCGTATACCCTATATGCTAAGCATTTGAAAAACACATCGAGCATAAGTGTGCATTTTAGAACACCGTAGGGTACTAACATTTAATCACTTAAACTATGAGATTATCTAGATCATTGTTGCTTAAAAAAAAAAAAAAAAAAAATATGGGGACAAAACCAAACCCAAACTGAGTGGGAATGGAATAATTTGCCAACTCATTAATCAAATTTTAATTCCCAATTGGAGAATATTATTTACTTATATTAAAAATATAAGGCTCTAATAATATACCCTGTGCCATTATAGAAAAAAAATAATATTAATAAATAAAACCAAAGCAAGAATTTTTAAGGCATGAAAATAAAAGGGGAAAAGCAGAATTATAATTATAAAGGAAAGATGGAGGTCGGTTCCTTGCTCGTAACGTATCTCTAGGTTCAGCTTCGGAGCTAGGTTCGGACTTGGTTTAAGTATGACTTCGAAGAGATAAGAACGACCGCCCCTCCTCCTACCGGACCCACCCCCCAAACCCGAAAGCCCATCTACCTCTCTACAAGTACCACTTTCTCTCTCACCGCCTCCACTTTCTCAACGTTTCCACAGCAAAACTTTTCAATTTCTCTCCCCTATTAGCTAGTGTTCTTACTTAGAGAAAGCCACAAAGAGCTGCATCAAATAGCATTTTGCAAGTTTGTTTCATTCAGAATCATTCAAGCTGGCGATTGATAATCAAGAATCGGGTGTCCGTGAAATCAAGCCTAAGAACAGACGAATCATGGTACTAATTCTCAATGGAAATTCACGTTTTTGAGTTTTTTTTTTCCTTACGCATTTTTGTTTGATTTTCCTTTAATGGATTTCTCTGTTTTTCTCTGTTCTGGCATATGACTTTTTGGGTTCTTTTTTTCCACATTTTTATTGGGTTTTCCTTTAATGGATTCCTTTGTTTTCAGGGGGCTGGAGGGCCTGATGAAGAGGACAACAGGTGGCCGCCATGGCTGAAACCTTTGTTGAAGGAACATTTCTTTGTTCAATGCAAGTTTCACGCTGATTCCCATAAAAGTGAATGCAACATGTACTGCCTGGACTGCATGAATGGCTCTCTCTGTTCACTCTGTTTAGCCTATCACAAAGATCATCGGGCGATTCAGGTCTCTATTTTCATGAACCCTTTTTCTTCTTTTCACATTCTATTTTAACACTCGGGTTTTATTTTCAAAATTCCCTTTTTTAGCAT